TTTATTTATTTATTTATTTATTTATTTATTTATTTATTTATGAGAGAGAGCTCGCATGTGCGAGTGGGAGGAGGGGCAGAGGGGAAAGGAGAGAGAATCTTAAGCTGACTCCATGCTGAGTGTGAGCCCAACACAGAACTCGATGTTGCAACCCTGAGATCATGACCTGAGTCAAAATCAAGAGTCGGGACGCTTAACTGACTGAGCCACCCAGGCGCCCCTGGCATCTGTCTTCTCTCTTTCTGAAGTTCATGCTCGCTGTGTCAGATGGTTGCATGATTCCACAACCCAGGTATGGGGATTCAGAGCTGTCTTGGCCATCCATTATCCAATACAGAAGGACTCTGGTCTATGCCCCTTATCTTTTGTCACTTCCCAAGCAACTGGAACAACTCAGTGTGCATTGATGATGTCCTTTAAGCCCAAGGGTCTAAAAATATTTTTTAGATCTTTACTTACTGGCGAATCAAATCCGGTCAGATGCACAAGTAGGACAAGCACTCTGGCCAGCTTGTCAGTGGATAGCAATAGACCCGCTTTTAGGCCCTAAACAGATTCCAGGGGTGAGTGGGTCTGGAAATGCTGTGATGGCTAGCTGAGGTGGGTAGGAAAAAGAGAGGGCTCAGTCCTGGGGTCCTGCTGAGATTTCCGTTGGGGAGCCGGGTCAGGAGAGGAGAGTGTTGCTGGTCATCTCCATTCCAAGCTGTCTGATGGGCTGCAACCCTGATCTAATGTGCCTAAAGTTCACCTTCAGGCGCCAAGTTGACATGATTAGCCTCTCCAAGTGACCAAGATTTCTGTCATAAAGCGTCTGAGAGGCTCACCCATCCCTGCCATGAAAGGCACTGAAGGAAGCAAATAATTAATGAACATCCATCTAGCCAGACAGCCACATTCACTGGCCAGCGCAAGTGTAAGGCTCATGGCCCGCTGTCTTAAAGTTCCACGGATTCTCCCTGCCATGGAGCACAGACATGCTTCCCGCCCTCCCTTCCAAGGTGGTTGGGGCGCGGCATTCAGGAGGAAATGCTGAACATCTGAACTGGTTATCTATACTCTCTAATCCATAGAAAGGAAAGTAAACAAAAGCAGTTGTTAGACCTGAATTAGGCTTTTTATCATTTAGGTCAGTTTGTCTGTCCATCCATCCATCATCAAAAGTATATTTCTTCACTGTGCTGGGCACTGAGGATCCAGAAATGACTCAATCCCTACATTTGCCACACAAGAGTTCCCTGTACAGTTCCATTGTTAACTCATGAAAGGTAACTTGCTGCACTCTGTTTGCTTGTTATTATGAGAAAAACACACAATGAAAATGATACTCATTTTATTGCATCATTTACTGACTAGAACGCCAGACTTAAAGTAGATATAAGTATAAAAATAACCAAATTCTTACAAATAATACTTTGCTGCTACAGTACTGAATAATTAGTGGAGGTGGCAATTATAATACAACTTTAAATAACATTCTCATAATGGTTTTAACACAATCAACCAGGGGCTAAGGTTTAAAGGTTTGCAAAAAGAAATTCGGGACAATGTGAAAACTCAAGAAGCTCATATTCCAGCTACATGCTTCACTTAACCATAAGTCCAGCAACACAAACATTAACAAAACTCACAGCAACCCATAATGAAAGACTTTCTTTTTTTGAAGAAACAGGCCAAGGTAATACAGAAATCTGGGTTAGTTTCGCATAGACTGGTTCCATCCCATCCCTGTCCAGTCCCATCCTTCCTAGGAAAGAACTCTGCATCTGCATTCCATGTCCAAAAAAAAAAAAAAAAGATAAAACCAGAATCTAGTAGGCAAATCCTTTGAAATGTCCTCTTAAAAAATGCGGAGGGGACAAAGCTGGTTAAGATCTCTCTTTATAGACCTAAACTGTCCCCTTGGGTTTCACAGGCGTTTTTGTGAGCAGTTGATACCAAACAGGATGGATTATAACACTATTGAAAAGATACTTTAGCACAACAAATTAACTGGCATTTAATACTTTAATATTTCTAGTCTTTTAACCAGTCTCCTTCTCCGGGGATTTCAGAAAAGAAAAAAAGAACACATACTCAAAAGACAACTCTACAAAACCCTATCTGTTTCCAAAAATGCACACAAGAACCTCAGAATGATGTTTTGTCAAGAAGGAGGAAATGACATGTCCCTCCTAATCCCGAAAAAGTCTTCACATAAAAAAAATATCTCTGACATTAAGGGCAGTTTTAAAGAAGACAGAAAATACTGAAATACTGAACCTTGCATTCTTCCTGCCTCCAAAGAAGTGCCTAGTTTTGAAATCAGGGTAAGTATCTTAGAACGATGGGTCAGAACCCGACTTTGGGGCATGCTAGGCTAAACTAAGTCAGGAGCAACTAGAATGCTCGGCTTTAGCTTCTTCAGGCAAAGTTCCCCAGCCTACCAGGCACCTGGGCACTTGGCCAGTGGGCAAGATGGCTTCATGGAGACCCCACAAAGCCACATGTGAGGAATGACCCTAATGTGCCTGCTCTGGGAGCTTCCACATCTGAATAAATATCATCCCTCAAAAACATTTTCTTGGGCAGCCATCCAGCCTTGTACTGCAAAGATGCTGCCCTTCTGTTGGGACCAACTTTAAGAATTACCTCTTCGAGAACTTAATAGTCACATCTTTGTTTATAATTCCAAATGCTAGCAGCCAGCTTGATTACACTATCCATTCAACAAATTTGGCTCTAAATGACTTAGCTGCTTCTGAAAATAAATTTTCATCAAAGGAGGAAGATTTGTCAGCATTTAAAACATTCAACTGAATATGTTCACGACTCTGATCACGTTCACAAAAATATGCTTCTAATAGAAGGCGAAGCAGCCCTCAGATGGGCATCTAAGTCTGGCTGCGTTTGTCAAAAACCCGGGTCATCACCTCACCCTTCCTACACCCAAAGCCACGTACCAGTACACTTCTCACTAAACACAAGCCACTCTTCTCTTAATGATGACCTCACGTGTCCAAAAAATAGATGCAATTATATGCAATGAACCCAAAAGGACCTTTTCAAAAAGGATTCATTTTTTTTTGCATTTCATATCATTAGTTCAGTTGATGCTTAATAATGTTAAGGTTCTTAAAAGTATTTTGTAAGCCCACTCTCTCCTGCCGTCTTTGACATGTCAGGTCCATTTGGATGGTGAAGCATTCACCAGGAAGGCAAGAAAGGGAGAAGGATTTGAATCCTGGCTCTCTAAGGCAAGATATTCATCCTCTCTGAAAGTTCACGTGTGCAAGAAATGGACACTCTCATGCACACTTCACCAGGGTGTGGTGAGGCCAAGGACCCTGCACAGAGCCTGGTCATGGGGGGGGAACACCAGAGATTCTGGTCGCGACAGGTAGACTTCATCAATGGTCTTTAAGGCCCTGGGCTGGCTCATGGGGCCGAGAGGAAAAGACAGGAGAAAGAAGACTCCCTGGAGCTTAAACAAAACCCACAGTGGCTGGGAAGCTGGCAGGGAACCCCGTTCTGCTCTGAGTCACGGTGTGGTGCCGCCGCATGCTACAGGACACATGGCTTCCGTTCGGCCCCGCCAGGCCCTCCAGAAGTTGAAGCCTCTCATGAGCAGTTAAGTGTCCTTTTTCCCTTCCACCTTCCCCTAGCTGTGGGGCCCCAACGAGGCAGGACTGTGGTATTCCTGTGGCCACGAGTCACACATTCCAGGTGCAGGGGCTGACACGGAGCACCTGTGCCGGAAGTGAGAGCTTCTGCTTCCCAGGGGTGCACCCAGCCCTGTCCCTCCAGTCCAGAGGCGGCTGCTGTCCTCCTGGATGTTTGCCCTCGGCCCAGACAGGGCCCTTTGGGAGGTATTAACCCCAGACAAGGGTGGAGCCAGCCTCCCCTATCCTCACTCAGGGTGGGCAGCTAACGTGTAACTGGGTAACCGTCACGCTGTTTTCATGCCTTCTTAGACCCTCCTGCTCTTGAGATATCCGTTTCCCAACCCCACAGCCTCCTAGAAGTGAGATACATTTGAACCTAACATTGTCGGGGGCCTCCTTTTTTTCACAGTAAAAGAAAAACAACATTCTTAATCCACTTCACATGCACAAAACCTACTCAAAGCGAAGCATTCTTGGAACTCACAAGACACTCTTTTCTGGACTTTGGGATTCTTCTCAAGAATGCTTTTGAGACAGCACACTTCATTTTGTGTAGCTTATAGCTTCTGGTCCTGACACAGGAGATGATCTGTCAGCTGAGATAGCATCTGACACCTTTAGCTGAGTATGCTTGGGAATAGCGCCCCCCCACCGTGGCTCTGGGTTCTGGGGATGAGCAAGGATCTGCATCAAGAGCCAGGAAGCGAGGCCACCTCATGAGGGAGCCAAGTCTGTTGGCTAGGGTGAGCGGAGGGCAGGAGCTCGGAGCTCTCCAGGTAGATGTGAGACCAGAGGCCGTTTGCTTCCCCAGAGAGCTGCAAGACCCAAAGATTTCAGAAAGGTGATGCTCTGAAATTTGAAGTTGGCATCCGCTGACAAAAACAGAATTTGTATCTCAGGAGATGAGTCCAATGTAATGACTAAAAAGCATCACACCCGACTTGTGTTCCTGCAGCAGCAGGGTGATGGTGGCTCGTGGAGACCATGGAACACAGGAGTTGACACTTAAAACTCTAAGGACAAGGATTACAGAACAGTAAGGGTGAGATACACTCTGAAGAGATAAAAAGAGAACTCTGAAGAAACAACCATGCCCAGGACAGAACTGTCCCCAAAGGCTAGACCGCTTCCAGAAATGTGGGTGCCCCTGAGCTCCAAGCTTCAGGGTGGGAACGATTCTTTACCACTGTGTTCTACTTCATCCCAAACCAGGATGTGTCAAAAGCACATGGCGGGAATAATCGCAGTTCCACAAATAGCAGGTAAAGACACCGTGCCCTGGGGATGCCCCCCCTACCCTACAGGACCCATGTCACAGGCATAATAAATAAGACATGTGGCATTTCCTTCCCAAAGGCAAACTCTCAACTCCTTAACTGGCCGGAAGTCTTTCGTTCTCCAATGCGGACTTAAATTATGTTTCTAGAGGGAACTCGGCAGTAGTATAAAGGGGGACAAATTACTGCATGAGAGAAAATAAGTTATCTCTTCAGTGAATAAACAGCTCTGGGCCGTTGGTTGAAAGTGGACACTGAGTCTGTGGACAAGATGCGGGATAGGATCACAGAAGCGGCCCCAGGAGGGAAGCAGACTCACGGACGTGTGGCTCTGTCCCAGCTCTCGGGTCTTCCTCAGGAACCCGCACGGCTTCCCAAAGCGCGGGGGTTTCAGGAAGCAGAACGTGCCCGGTCAGCCCAGTCCTCTAGCCACATCCCACTGCTTCTCCTTCAGCGGTGGAATACCCACTCGGGCCCAGGCTGCATTCAGCTTCCCATTTCTACTGCACGGACACGGCAGCTTCGGCCTCAGGGGGGGGTCACACTCCCCGGGACCGGCACTGGGCGATGCCCTCCGGGATGAGAAGCGCCCCACGGCCTGCGGCTCTGTGACCCTCCGGGCCTCCTCCCCCCAGGGCCCCGAGCACGGCGCTGCCTGCCCAGCCTCACTACCGGCGGCGGGAGGCCTCTAATTAAAAGCAAATGCAACTTGTTTTGCCCTGATGCGGACTTACTTGAAAAAGTGAGAATTAACTGCAGAGGGAAAATATAATCTTAAATAAATGTCACCTTGACTAAAAAATGGAGTGTGTGCTATGCCTCCCACATTTCAGTTCCTCATTTTGAGGGTTGGCTTGGAAACTGCAGAAGACCTAGAACGTGCTAAAATGCTGTATGCTCACCTGCAGCATCTCCAAACCTTAGTGGTATGTTCATCATCATCATCTGTTGTTTAGCACGGAGATACCGGGCAGGAAAACAACGAAAGAGCCTGTATTTTGCGGTAAATCAATCACCAGATCGAGGCCTATGGGAGTGTCTGAGGAAAAGAGGCCTTTTTGGAACAGTCTTGGAAAAAATCCGAAAGGAGACCTCCCTATCCAATTTACTAAAGTGCAAACTAAGGAAAGACTGGGTCCTGGCGAAGGCGCCTGACGACGTGCCCTGGCTACGAGTCAGCCCGGGGGCGGCTACGGCACTCAGAGACTCCCGGTACTGGCCCACGTTCACGTTCACAGTAAGGGCGAAGGTGCCCAAGGAGCGGCCCTCAGTTCCACGTCCCGGATCCATCTGTGCCCTTCCCCTGCGGTCACGCCCCTCACGCCTGTCCCACTTCCCGCTTGCCACTGGAGTGTGGCTCCAAGAGTCCTGGGGGCAGCCGGTGAGCACGCTCCCCCCTGCTGCAGTCCTCTGAGCAGCTGAGGGCCCAAAACTTGCTCAGAGTGCTGGGCCCTCCCTCTGTCTTCCGCACTTAGAAGTAGTCTCTTCTCCTGCTCTCATCACTGATGAAAGATGGGTTATACTGTCCAGGGAAAATGCACGAGTGCCGTGACCCCGGCAGTCCAGTGTAGGCCGGGTAGAGTCCATTGCGTTCAAGTTCAGGATTCCTTACACTTGTGGGCTGGCGGCCAGAGAGAAAAGAAGAAAAGTCCATTTATTATTTGTGGATTTAAATTTAATGGTTTTTTTCTTTGAAAAAAAAAAAAGAAAAAAGAATGCTATGTTTTAATAAACCTAAGACAGAGACAGCTAACCAGAGCGGAGCAGGGTCTAACCTAGAAGTCAGGATCTCCCAGGCCCTCTCTCCGTGGAACCTGGGACACCTTTGCTCATATTTTCAAAGGAGATCTAAAAAACAAAAACGATCAAGGGCAGCCCACCAACATAGGAACAGACCTGGGCTAATTATCCTAATTATCATCAAGATTAATTGTTACCTGATTATCTTGACTGTAAGAAAAAAAAGTGTCTTTCCCTGTGGAGCACTATGGCTTTAAATCCTCTCTGGCATTTAGCAGAACACCAATGTCCCTGCCACGAACGGGGAACTGACTTTTACAAGGACATAGGACCACGTGTCAAAGGTGGAGTTAGGACCCCAGAGCGAGAGGCCACCAGCGATTGGCAGCCGTCTCTGACCAGATCCCGGCCTAGCCCATCATGACTACCTAGCTGATGCGCAAAAGCAGCTCGCAGGGAATGACACGGCTACCTTGAGGAGGCCCTCAATGAGGCCCACCAGGAGAAAATGCTTGCCTGGCAGAAATAAAACACTGGAGAGAGCATATAATGAACGTGGATCCTAGGAGTGCCCAAGGTACACCTGAGGCCACTGTGAGGGACAGCCTTCTCACAGTGGGGGCAGCTTCATATCCTAAGCATAGGCTCTGCTTCTATGGACTGCTCAGCCCATTTCTGAAAGGAAGATGGGGCTGGTTTAAGTTCTTGATTATTTCTACTTAAGGCAACTCTTGGGCTAACTCCATGGAAACACGGCGCGGTTGGTCCTCCGACGCCACGGGTCTGTCTGTCCCTATGTGACCCCGCCACTGCGGGGGAGGGGTCCCTAGCGAACGGTGTGGGGATGCGAGCACACCTGCTCATGCAGCAGGCCCTGCAGATACCGGGCGGCCGTGTGAGCAACAGGGCTTCCCGGACGGAGAATACAGCAAAGCACTTGGGTGGAAAGATCAACACTTAAGCCCAGCGCTAGGTTTGTGTCTACGTTTATCTTTCCCCGTATTTCTTCTTGCTCTTCCTCCAGTTTCAAGTTTTCCAAAGGGTCCATCAACGGAAACAACAGCTTCCTTAGCATGAACCTCTCCCATCCAAAGTCTGAACCCTCAGGGTTCATCCCCACAGCAACTAGCAGGGTTGTGACTTCTATCACAGGGCTATTAAGTCCCCACGGGGCAAGGTTTCATGTTTTGCTACCTCAAAGAGGTCCATGTGGGATGAGAAGTCACCTACGTCTGTTTACTTTTCAGGTCAGATAGCCCCGTTTGTGTTTGCCACGTGATGTCAAATGAACCGGGCAGCTCACAGGTTATTTGATGTGGGACAGGAGGAGCCAGGGTTCAAGGTGGTCTACCATCTTTCCCAATGATGCAGTCCAGGGCCGGATGGAGCCAGCTGTGGAAGACCTATACCGAATGAACATTCTCCTAAACCTCTGAGAAGTGCTTGCTGACGACGACACTGAGTTGTTCTCTTTATACCAGTTTCCAATCTCCCAACCACAGGAGGTAAAGCATGGCATATAAGAGATGAGATGAAAATGCAAGGGCCACAGGCTAAATATCACTAAATTCTTTCTGTTATCTTTCAGTCCAATCTTATAACTTAGAAGCAAATTTGGTCACAGGAAGGGTTATTGCTACAACCCCATAAAAGTAAGGTGCTTGGTGGAAATAGCCTTCATGATCTTGATGTCAAAACTAACAAATACCATGCAAATAGATTGTAAGTAAATTGAATATTAAATTATGTAAATAAGAGGCTCAGGCCACCATTCTCTTTAACCCTTAGGCAGCTGAAGTATCTTAATTTTGCTACAAAACACAATCCCTGTACTTCTCAGAGGGAATCAGAACCTGAGTTGCCCTGGGCACAGCGATACGCACCGAGTAATATACATCCGTCATCTGGAGGAGGTTTTTGGTACTTCCGTTCTCATGCATTTCAATAGCTTCTCGGCCCCATTCTTGTGAGCGAGGGTTTTTGGGGTACTCGGCATATGGGGACATTTGGAAATCTCCACTTTTGAAGATGAGTTTGCTTATGTCATTTTTACTCTTTCTGTGGAATGGAAAATAGTTCACAACTTAAATGAACAAGTTGTAAAGAAATGATATGTATGAAAGCACGTTTTATTATTTTAGAAGGTAAATTAGATGGAAAGCTACCGTTACATTCTTTTGTAAATGCCCACTGAAAAATGGCATTATTGTTATATTTTGCCTGAAACAAGTAAAAATGCAATTAGATGCAAAAAAAAAATGCAAAAAAAATCTTCCAACTGGAAGGGACAGGTTACCACAGACAGAGAGGACCAACACAGCTATCTATAGTGAAGCAGTGTTTTGCAGGGGACAGAGGTCGCTGCATCTTGGGGGCAGCCAGGGAAATCAGAGTCATAAATTCCCAGAATGCTGGAGCCAAAGGCCTTTAGGATTCTATAATCCAATGGTTCTAAACCTGCTTGAGCATCAGAATGTACACGGAAGCTTGTAGGTCCCACCAAGATTTACTAAGAGAGGAGCTCTGGGGATGGGATGGCTCTGGCTTTGCAAAAAGATGAGACTTGTTCCCCAGGTCACACTTTGCTACTAGCAAAGCTAGGACGAGAGTGCAGGCCTCCTACCTCGCCAGCCAGGGCCCTTTAACCACATGAAGCTACTCCACTGACTATAAAACCAGGTTGTCTCCTTTGCAAAAATGCCCACCTGTTTATTTTACCCATACATATTCTCATTTCCACAGGTCAGGGAAAGCCCAGGACAAGCCCCTACTTGTCAGGGTTCCCTGGCTGGAAATGGTGGAAATATGTGTGATTTACCTAAGGAATGGGCCTAGGATCAGACATTTTTAGTTATATTTGCCCTGGGTAAGTTAATCTGAAGTTTCTTCCTTCTTACCTCACTTTCCTATAAATAAACCTTCTGGGAAGGCACAAAATGACTCATGGTCATAAACCAAATGTCCACCATGTGGCCTAGGCGTTGTCCCTTCTTGTAAGTTCAAGAACAGACCTGCCACTGTGTTGCTCCCTGGAGGGTGGGGCATCCGTTTTCAAACAATGACTTAACTAATTCATGACCACCTTCCCTTTTGCCAAAGCCCATAGTCACCAGCTCCTTCTCCAGGCGGTCACACTACCTGGTTCTCGGACACTTAGCAAATATGAGGCTTACATCCCCTTGAGGTTTAATCCCTCTAGCTTCTAGTCTCCTACCCAGGATTTTATTTCCACTCATGGTTTGATGATCTGGTGGCAACTCTGCAAATGACAGGTAAATGCAGTACTACGAGGCCTGTATTCCCGGATGGGCAGTTGGGGCAAACTGCTCTCTGCAGCCTTACTGGAGGTGAAAGGTATCTTCCCATTGATACCTTCGTATCAACGGTCGAAAAGATAACTTGCTCTTTTGGTAGGTTTCCTCCATCTGTTACGTCAGAAAAATTCCTGCCGTTTATAATCATCTAAATCAAAGGTCATAGTTTTCCCTTATCTGACTAGATAATTACCGAGAAAGGGGACCAACTTCTTCCTTACTCTTCCTTTTCCCAATGCACTGGCTTCCAAGAAGCCCAAAGCCAAGCATGCTGCTGAGCATCTGCTCACCCCATGTGCCTGCTACAGCTTGCTTACTGCCAAAATAGCTCAGCTAACCCCTTCACCTTTGTTTGCTTCTAAATTTGCTCATTTGAAGTATGTAAGCCGATGGTTTTAGTATATTCAGAACTGTGCAGCCATCATCACAATCAATTTTTACAACAGTTTCATCACCCAAACAGAAACCGCTTACCCCTTACTCCCCAATTCCCACCCCCCACCTGCCAGCCCTAGGCAATCACTAATCTACCTTCTGGCCCTATTAGATTTGCCTATTTTGGACATTTCATATAAACGGAATCATACAATAGGTGATCTTTTGTACATGTTTCTGTGTGAACACACATACTCACTTCTCGTGGTATGTACGTCAGAGTGGAGGTGCTGGGTCATATGGCGACGCTGTGTGTAGCTTCCTGAGGAACTGACAGACTTTTTCAGAGGGGCTGCACCATTTTATGTTTCCGCCAGCAGAGTAGGAGCATTCTAATTCTTCCACAGCCTCACCAATGCTTGCTGTTTCCTTGTTTTTTATTTTTATTTATTTTTATTCTTTATTTAAATTCAATTAATCAACATATATTACTGGTTTCAGAGCTGGAGGTCAGTGAGTGAGTCATCAGTCATATATGTAACACCCAGTGCTCATTACATCACATGCCCTCCTTAACGTCCATCACCCAGTTACCCCATCCCCCCACTCCCCTCTTGTTTTTTAAATAGGCATCTTAGTGGGTTTCCCAATTTTGCTTGTATTTCCCTGATGGCTAATGATGCAGAGCATCCTTTCATGTGTCTCCTGGCCATTTGTTCATCTCCTTTGGTGAAATGCCTATTCAAGTTCTTTGCCCATTTTTAAATGCGGTTGCCTTTTTATTATTGAGTTGTAAGAATTCTTTATATATTCTAGACACAAGTTCCTTAGTAGAAATATGATTTTCAAATACTTCCTCCTGTTCCCTAGGTTGTATTTTCACTTTCTTGATAGGGTTCTTTGAAGCACAGGAGTTTTTAATTTTGATGACGTCCAATCTATCACTTTTTTGTTGCTTGTGCTTGGGGATATTCTTTTTTAGTAAAGGAAATAAGAGTCCCGTTTGTTGTCTTTTCTCAATGGCACTATCTATCAAGAATTTCCTTTTCTCCTTTTTTTAATGGTTCAGTCACACAGGATGATTTAGTACTGTAAAGCAGCCCAAACCTTCTTTAAAATAAACACTGACCCTTGCTTAGCAGAGGCAAAGAGAATTAGAATGTGAACCCCCCAGTCACTCACTCACCGGCAGCAGGTAACAATCAGCGCGATGCCTAGAATAAGCAGCAGCCCACCTCCTGCTGCTGCGATCACCACAGTGATCAGCTGATAAGCTAAACAGGGTCAAAAAGGAGAAAAGTGGACAGGTGAGAGGTAATAATGGAGAAATAAATGAATACAAAAGAAGAGTTCCCCTCCTCCCCCCGCAGCTATGACCGTGCGCCTCAGTTGGTGACAGGCTAGCTCTGGCATTGGCTCTGTTGGAGGGTGGCAGGATACACCACCCAAAATAGTCCTCTTTGGCACGCTTATTATTTTGAACCGATTATTTTCAGGAAACTACCGCTCGGGAGAAGCTCTGAAAACAGCGGGAGTCACCCTTTTGTAAGGGAGATTTACATTAGAAAAGGGGCCCCTACCAGGAAGGCAGCTCTGACCCGAGATCACCTTTTCACCAGAGAGCCTGAGGTTTGGGCAGGGCAGCCTTTGTTTACCAAACAGTTCCTCCTCTCACTTGCCTGGTGGCTTCCCATCCCCGCCCTCGGCAGCTGCGGACACCGAGCCCTTTCCTTAACTCAGAAGGGTGCAGAAGCCTCAAACATCCGGCTGCCTTCGCGTCTCATCTTTGTGGGGCTCCTGTGTGTGCTATGTAATTAAAATTGTTTTCTTTTTCTCCTGTTAATCTGTCTTTTATTGACGGGGGGAGGTAGAGTTCTAGAAGGGTAGAGGGCAAATTGTTTTTCCTCCCCTGCCTGCTCTGTTTGGAGAAGACTTCTCCTTTCTCAGCCACTCCTAGAACGGTGGGTGGAATGCAAATTCTACCTGTAGACCAGCCCCGAGATCACGTTCACCAATGCATGGTAAAAAGAGAAAACTAAAGGACATGCATGAAGTTTTCAAAAACTAAATCTGTTTGGTTTTAATAACAGTTCTATCTTCTAAGATTCTATCCTTCCTACTTTTTTTTCCCCTCACTTAAGATGGGTACATTTTATTATGTGTACATTATGCCTCCAGTAAAGTGTGTTTTGTTTTGTTTTGTTTTGTTTTTTAAGTAATGGAGAAAACAAGAATCATTTCTTGGCTACTTACCACCCTTTGGTGTTGTTTCTACATTTTTTGAATTGATGGTGATATAGTAGATATAAAATATTAGCAGTCAGTAAGCACACACATATGTAATGAACAATGGTTTTATACCTGTGTATTTCTGGCAAACTGATATTTTCAATAAAGTCTACTAAGTATTTAGATTGATTTTTTGTTGTTGTGGAAATATAATTAAAATTTGTTCTCAGGTTGTAAGGCGCAGGGTATTCAGGTAAAGTCAGAGCTGACAGTAAGCAGACTGTGTAATAAAAGCAAATAGAAGCTGTTCAACCGTTTACCTATCATTTATTTAAATAAATAGCACAGAAACCTGATTATCTTGAAAAACCATCGGTATGAAGACATACAGGAAACAAAGCCAAACCATGGAATAAGGTAATTCTCTCCTTCACCTCCTGACACATGTATTCAAGCTTCACTTTTAACAAAATCTCTTGAATCTGTTGACGTTTCTTTATCCCCACCAACACCACCCTAAAACACCATCAATTCCTGACCCGGCAACTGCAACCACCTCCCAACTCACCTTTCTGTGCCCAGTCTTGCCCATTCCTTTAAAAAAATAAGTCTGATTATGCCATTTCTCTGCTTTAAAATCCTACACTGACTTCCTTTGTTCCTAACGAAAGACGGAAGTCTACTCCTGCTTATCCCTCCACACCAAGTTCAAATTTTCCCACTTTCAGCAAAACAAGCAGGCGCTTATTTTAGAAGTGACCCTTGCAAGTGGCCACAGTTGTGGCAGAGTCCTCTTTGGAACAAGCAGTTTTGTTTTGTTTTTTAAGATTTTTTTTTTTATTTGAGAGAGAGAGACAGTTCGTGCAAGCGGGGGGCGGGCAGGCAGAGAGAGAGAGAGAGAGAGAGAGAGAAGGAAGGAAGCAGACTCCTCCCTGGGTGGGGAGCCAGATGGGGGGCTGGATCCTAGGACCCGGAGATCAGGACCTGAGCTGAAATCAAGAGTTGGATGCTTAACCAACTGAGCCACCCCAGGCACCCCTGGAACACGCAGTTTTGTCTAAAGAAAGGCACAGATGGAGTAGGCCAGTGCTTCTCAAACTATGTGTGGCCAAGAACCAGTCCTGAAAGCCAAAAGACCTCATGCACATGAGCATAAATGTCCAGGAGGGGATCCTACCGAAACATTCAGAGGTTGGCACTACCTCGGGAAATCATGGCTAACTTCTACTTTCTTCTTTGTGCTTTCCTATACTTCCCAACTGTTATTCATATGACCACACACACACACACACACACTCTCACAACCTCCTCGCAACCTAGAAATTGTGTGTGTATACACATACATACAACATATACATATAATTTATTTTATATACATATACGTATACTTTTTTTTTTAAGATTTTATTTATTTATTTGACAGAGAGAGAGATAGCGAGAGCAGGAACACAAGCAGGGGGAGTGGGAGAGGGAGAAGCAGGCTTCCCGCCGAGCAGGGAGCCCGATGTGGGACTCGATCCCAGGACCCTGGGATCATGACCTGAGCCGAAGGCAGACGCTTAACGACTGAGCCACCCAGGCACCCTTATACGTATGCTTTTTTAGAGTATGTTTGGTGCTCTTTGGCAGTTAGCTCTTATTACTGGGAACTTGTAATCAGCTTATGGACAAGATAACCCAGATTTTTTTTTCTCATATCTGCTGTCAAGTCACTTCATGAACTACAACTGATCCTTTGAACCTAAGACTGACTTTGAATTTATTATGAGGCCATATAATGATCACAAGTGCATGGGATTTAGGGACGCCTGGGTGGCTCAGTTGGTTAAGCATCTGCCTTCAGCTCAGGTCATGGTCCTGGGGTCCTGGGATGGAGCCGTGCATGGGGCTCCTGCTCAGTGGGGAACCTGCTTATCCCTCTCCCTCTGCTTTTTTCCCTGCTTGTGCTCTATCTCTGTGTCAAATAAATAAATAAAATCTTTAAACAAACAAACAAACAAACAAGTGCATGGGATTTCAATCAACATCAACTATAACGTTTATAGTTTTGTGGAGCTCTGAATGTTTATTTATTACGGTGAGACAGAAGGCAGGGAATGTCGTCTTAGGCTTGTCTGTCCTATCCTGTCTAGTTTGAAGAGATTCTCCAGAATGATGAACTTGGAATTCTTAGTCTTCCTCCCTAACATTTGTTGATATTTCATGGTCTTTATCTTCTCTTGATTCTTTTTGTGGTTTGGTCTGGTCATAGTTTGCTACTGCTGACATTGCTGCTGGGAGCCCGCTGGGGGCCTTGGTCTTTCCTGCAGGCGACATCTGTCCTTGCTTCTATGCTCATTTGGGCTGGAAACTACTACTGGACCGTCTACGTAGCCAGCCCCTCCCTGGGAACGTTCACCCCATCGTGTGCAGTTTATGGCCAAGGCGGTTACAGGGGGTCATGCTTGAATGTTTAGCACCAACCTTGGCTACAGCTAACTGGTCTGGAAGTAAACACGTGATCCAAACTGGATCAGTCAGTTCCTTCCCGGGAATCTCAATTTGGTAAAGAGAAAGAGAGGGTGAGAGAGAGAGAGAGAGAGCGTGAGCACAAGGGCCTTCTCTTTCAAAATGGCTGAATCAGTGACATGCACTTGAAGCTCTCCGGGGAGTCTATTTTCAGTCACGTTGTCTGGGAAGGAGGGAAAGCCTGTACATAGACACACACAGCAAAGAGCGAAGATGAGAGATGAAGTTGGAGTCATGTTAATGTGTACCCTGAAAAGTGGGCCCCCAACCTCCAGCTGCTGTGGTTCCCCACAATTCCCTGATTCTTATTCCTCCTGATGCTGGAATTCCATGACACACCCCAGGATCCTTCCCATAAACGGTCTTTTGTTGCTTAAGCTAGCGAGGCTTATTTACTCCAGAAGAACCTTAGCCAACTGTGATACTGTGATTTATAATGAGAAATATATATGTGGTCTTGTTCCCCTTCCTGGCAAAGAGCTCTTAAAACCCTCGGAATTTCCTAAGTGAAGAGAACAGAAAGGTATGTCTTTTGTTATATTAATGATGTGACCTTTGGAAAACACTTGAGGCGTGGGGTGGAAGGGGAGGGGGGCAGGCTGCCTAGAGAACAACCCTGTGATTAGAGGGTTGGAATTTTCAGTTCCTACCTCCTGACCTCTGGAGAGGGGAGAGGGGCTGAAGGTTGAGTTCACCAATGGCCAGTGACCTAGTCAATCATGCCTATATAATGAAGCCTCCATAAAAACCCAAAAGGACAGAGTTGGAAGAGCTTCCGGGTAGGTGAACATGCAGAGAGCTGGAGAGAGTGGCTCGCTGGGAGAAGCTCCGCACCCTTTCCCCAGGCCTTGCCCTATGCACCTCTTCCATCTGGCTGTTCATCATGAGTTACATCCTTTTATAATAAACCAGTGATCTACTGAGTAAACTATTTACTTTCAGTTCTGTGAGCCGCTGTAGCAGATTAATCCAACCCAAGCTGGGTATCGTGGGAACCACTGATCTATAGCCGGTTGGTCAGAAGTACAGGTAACAGGCACTTGGGTTTGCAGTTGGCATCTGATGAGGAAGGGGGACGGTCTTATGGGACTGAGCCCTCAACTTGTGGGATCTGACGCTATGTCCAGGTAGATCAGAAATGTCAGAAGTGAGTTAATTGCTTGGTGGCGTGGAAAAAACACACATCAGAAATGGTGTCAGATTGAACCAACCAATACACCTTGTTTTAAAACCCTTGAGCCCATTACAGACCTTTCTAGGTGGCCACATTAGTTTTACCTTATTTTATTATCACTTTTTTAAGTAGGCTCCGTGCCCAGTGTGGAGCCCAACTTGGGGCTCGAACTCACCACCCTGAGCTGAGATCAAGAGTTGGATGCTTAACTTACTAAGCCAGGCACCCCTCATTAGTTTTATTTTAAAATTCATTCATTTCTCCCCATAGCCCCCCTCACTGAGCTCATCAGTAATGCACAGTTAAAATTTTGCCTTTTAAATCTTTCCATTCCTTTTGCATCAGCTTTCCTTTAGAATTTCT